GATCTTAATTTTGCCATCACACAAATATACTTTTGTTAAAGTATTATATTGTCGATTTGTTTTTCTATTGGTAGTAAAAAGTAATTTTTATTAAAATTTTATCAATAAGACCAAAAAAATTAACATTAACTAAGAATTACTTAACCAAATAATTTCTTCGCGTTAAATTGGCTCTCTAGCCCACTGTGCGCTGTAACAACACGTCGATAAGGTAAATTAAGAGGAACAAATAAAGTCGTTCTCGCTTTTATGTTGAAGTATATGTAGCGCATAGAAACTCCTTTATAAGGTAATTTGTATAGAGTCAAGTGGGGCAATATGACGCAGTTAAGTTTGTCAGCAGTCCTTGTCAAACAGCAGTAAAGCGATTACGCTAGGGATGTTCAAACATTGACAACTCACAATGACCATTTTTGAAAAACAATATTTAAACTTGTAAATTGTTTTAACTTATTATTAAAATTAGTTTATATTAAATTTTTTTGAATATATATGGGCGCTGAGATCGTGTAAAGTTCGGGAACTAAGTAAAAAAACATTATTATGTTATAGTTTTCAATAAGATTTCCTTTTTGAATGGAAATATCGTTCCCTGGAGCATCCTTTTAAGATTTGCGAACAGCCATTAGTTTTATATTAAGAATTATTTATTATTTTTCTTATTATTAATCTTTAGACTTTTTGAAATATTTCTGCCCGTAACGTACCGATATTCGGACTCATTTAATTTCTAAATATCCAAATTATTATGATTTTTTTAAGTTTAACGAAATATTGAAAAAGCACTTAATTTTTTATGGAATTGGCTCTGGTAGGAACTATTAAATCATGGCAGACGATGTTTTCGAGAGAAAATTTAAATAAACTCAGTTTATAGTGTATACACTATTATATAACTCCAAATGCAATATATTTGTGCATAGAAAATGTTTACAAACTGTTCAAACTCTTTGTTGTGAATGCAAAAAATTGTCGTTTTTAAAAATTGCATGGAAAATTTAAAAAATAGTTGTCATTGCAACATTAGAAATGATGATGAAACAAATGTACACAGTAAAAAAAAGCTTTACACTAGGCTTCACTAGAGAACTCTAGAGGTTGTACTCTTGTAGTGTAACACATTTAACACAGTTTGTGCAACTTTATACACTATTTGATTGAAAATTACTACACTAACCGTGTTCGGTAGCTCTCTTCACTTTGACACTAATTTATTTACATTTATTTCACTTTTAGTGTGAATGCTATTCCTAATAGTGCTGTAAATCTATCTAGTGTTTATCCTAACACTAATAGATTTTAAAATTGTACACCAATATTGTGTAAGATTGTTGTCGGCAGAAGACCAAGCGGAGAAATTACTATCGCTGAGCATACATTTCACTGCCGTGTTTTATATACTATTTTTTTCAAGCATTACATTTTTTAATTTTTTTTAATTCTGTCACATAATTTTTAGGTTAGGTTCAACCATAGATAATAAATCAACTGACGATGACATTTAAGCTTTATTTCGGTAGGGTTAAATAATAATTTGATTTTTAAACTTGTGGGTATTAAATTTCAAGAAGTCTTTTTATATAGACTTTGAAGTTTTATAATATAAAAAATTTTGTACGCTTGAAAAAAATATGTAATGGAGGTTTTCAATGATTCTGCTGTTATTAATTTACTTTAGCTGTTTTCATTATTTACTTTGTCTGTGGCAGCCGCTAAGGTTAGACGTGTTTTATGAGCTTGGCGATTTTTCTTTGTTAAAAGAAATGGATCAAAGAGAATTTGTATCCAATTTTGTTTAAAAAATGAAATAAATTCTGTGAAATGTTATCAAAGGCCTATAGTGAGTCTGCTATAAGTAAAACAAGAGTTTACAAGTAGTTTACTAGTATAAGAGTTTCCAAGATGGCCGTGAAGACGTTGAAGATGACGAACGCCCCGAACGCACGAGCACATTAACAACCGATAAAAACACGGAAAACGTGAAAGAAATGGATATAAACCATCAGAGAAGTCGCTGATGATGTTGGTATATCGATTGGCTCATCCCAATGAAATTTTTTCAAATGTTTTGGGTATGAAACGCGTGGCAGGAAAATTTGTTCCAAAATTCTTAAATTTTGAACAAAATTTTTGGCCAAAAACAATACTGTAATGATGCCCCAGCCTCCATATTCGCCAGACATGCCTCTGTCTGACTTTTTCCTATTCCCAAAAATAAAGAGAACATTAAAGGGCCATCGTTTTGCAAGCATAGATGACATTAAAAGCGCATCGCTGAAAGAACTAAAGGCTATCTCAAAGATCGAGTTTTAGAAGTGTTTAGAGTATTGGAAGAAGAGCTGGCACATGTGCATAATATCCAATAGGCACTATTTTGAAAGCGACAACATTAATGTAGACGAATAAATAAAGGTTAGACGTGTTTTATGAGCTTGGCGATTTTTCTTTGTTAAAAGAAATGGATCAAAGAGAATTTGTATCCAATTTTGTTTAAAAAATGAAATAAATTCTGTGAAATGTTATCAAAGGCCTATAGTGAGTCTGCTATAAGTAAAACAAGAGTTTACAAGTAGTTTACTAGTATAAGAGTTTCCAAGATGGCCGTGAAGACGTTGAAGATGACGAACGCCCCGAACGCACGAGCACATTAACAACCGATAAAAACACGGAAAACGTGAAAGAAATGGATATAAACCATCAGAGAAGTCGCTGATGATGTTGGTATATCGATTGGCTCATCCCAATGAAATTTTTTCAAATGTTTTGGGTATGAAACGCGTGGCAGGAAAATTTGTTCCAAAATTCTTAAATTTTGAACAAAATTTTTGGCCAAAAACAATACTGTAATGATGCCCCAGCCTCCATATTCGCCAGACATGCCTCTGTCTGACTTTTTCCTATTCCCAAAAATAAAGAGAACATTAAAGGGCCATCGTTTTGCAAGCATAGATGACATTAAAAGCGCATCGCTGAAAGAACTAAAGGCTATCTCAAAGATCGAGTTTTAGAAGTGTTTAGAGTATTGGAAGAAGAGCTGGCACATGTGCATAATATCCAATAGGCACTATTTTGAAAGCGACAACATTAATGTAGACGAATAAATAAATATTTGTTTCAAAAAACGAAAATTCCCGATATTTTCTGAACACACCTCGTAATCTGTAACCTTTGAAATAAACAAAATGCTTACAAAATTGCATTTTACCTTTACAAAACTTCGGTAAAATATTTTCCATTGTTAAAATAATTACAAACCCAGGTTATACAAATTTTCCAAAATAAAATTAACTAACTACAAACTTCTGTTAACAAATCTTATTTTTATAACAGTGTGGCACACAACTCTTTTCAAAGGCATTGGCATTGGATCATAATCTGCTTTGTTCTAAACTGTTCTTTGGATTTCATGATATTTCAGTAAAATTTTTTAAAGCGTATCTGTCTAACCGTAAGCAAATTGTTTTATAGGAAAATGAATTATCTGAAGCTTGTAGCATCACCTCTGAAGTACCCCAAGGCTAAGTATTGGATCCCACCCTATTCCTAATATACACTGCCGATATAATTAACTCTATAACGAATGGTTTTATCCTATGTTATGACGACGACACGCAATTGCTTTATATTTTTAATCTTAAAATATAATTAATGTTTGAAATCAAATACATACATTTATACAGACATAAAATAATCTAATGTAGTTTATAACCCTTGTCTCGACAAGCTAACAAAGTTACGTTTACAAAAAAATTTAAATAGCTGCTGTAGATTTGTATATAGGTTAAGAAAGATAAAATATGATCATGTTTCATTTAATTGTCACAAATAAAACACCTTTATTATAAATTAATATTTATTTTTTATGAACAAGCATTTATTTTTCACAAAAAAAAAACATATTTATTATGAATTTATCTTTATTTTTTAATAACAACATTTATTTAAACAATTTTAATCAATGCGTTGTTTGTCCTAAATGTTTAAATTGTTTAAATTCCGCCATATTCGAATAAAGCATTTATTAGTTTTTGATAAATCCAGCTAATTTTTAATAAAATGTTCCCTTTGTGTATTTGGATTAAGCTTAGATTTAAAATTGTTAAAAGCCAAATACCTCATTTCGTGTCAAAGTTAAATCTTAATTTTTTCCCACTCAATAAATCTATTAAACAATAAATTTTTCCGATAAAACAACGAACGGACATTGTTTTTCGACGTATGCTTATAAGAACATAAGAATTAAAAATTATAATGACAGTAATCAAGAAAACGGAATATTTTCTATATTAATTTCATTCAATTGTTCAAAAAATGGTTGAACAAGGTGTAAGCCAGAAAATTTATATACATTTTTTTGAGCACTCAAAAATAGGTAAATGAGTATGTAATGTCAATAAGCTGTCCAATTATGGATTAATAGTATGTTATCAACATATATCGTTACATTACACTTCATCCGTTTTTATGCTGTAATAAACAAAATATTACATTATTTATAAAATACATTTTCAATACCCTTGTCACCGTTTTCGCGGAAATGCTCCAGACAATCAATTTTACTTTTTATTAAGTATATTATTTCATTAATTAATTACCTAACTAATTATAGACGTGATGTAAATGGAAAAGATATTGATAATGATAAATAAATAATATTAATTTTATCGCGTCAAAATTGCCTCGCGTGTTTTGCACAATTGTGAGTGGAGTATAAAGTAGGATAACACCCACATCGACAGGCCTGGGAGTTCGTTTGCATTTAATGTAATTCACATTTATGTTTTATTTAATTAGCCTGTGGAATATTTGTTTATTAAGTTTCTACTCTGTAATTAAACTTGCACAAAGGTCTTTATTACTGGCTCTTGAAGCCTTTGGCTTTGTAAGGTTTACACAAATTAAGTTATGGTTGAAAATATGAAAAAATTAAATTTTGTACCTCTTTTGCTATATCTTTTTCACTCTTATAATTGATTTATTAAATATTTTTTTTGTTACAGATTTTTCTTTCCAAAATATGAGCAGTTTCAACGACACCTTCTTATTTAACTGCACAGACCTTTTCAATTGCACGTTTCAAAATGGAACAAGAAACTTTACAACTGTCGAAGAAATTGACTATGAACCTCTTAGCGATATTATTCTCATGGGAATCCTTTCCATAGTTCTCGGTCTTATGATACTTATAACAGTGATTGGTAAGTAAAATAGATAAGAACACAATATTTATTAGTAAGTATAAAATTGTTTCAAGTAAAATTCATTGCATTTTTAAGATTTGATAGTGTCATTAATTTTAATCAATTTAAAATGTAGTGTAATAAGTTGTTTTTTCAAGGGGCCTTTCTTATATTAGTAGATTTCAAAAAGCACATCGAATTCTTTGTGATACTTACGAAGAGCAAGCTCCACTTGAACAAAGCTGCAGATAATAACGATTTAAAAGTGGTGATTCTAACTTAGAATTTCTAAGAAGTTGAGACAATGTTTTTAACATAATGTAACCTAATAATTAGGTAATAATTATTATTTTAAGTTAAAACACAGAAGAACGGTCAGTCAAAAAAGTTTGATGCGAAAGCTGCTAAATCCAAATGAAACGGTTACAGCTGATCGCTACCGACGCCAATCAGGCAATTTGGAATTAATAGCAAGAAAACACTAAAATCTTAAGCCCGCTGCACAACAGCCCGGTAACGGGAAACTAAACGGTAAAGGTGGAAGAGACTCAGCGAACCCTATCTATCAACAGTGGTTTTTTAGTCTCTCCCACCTTTATTGTTAGGATTTCCGTTCCCGTTCCCGTTACCAGGCTATTGTGCAGCGGGCTTTATGATTCCTAACAAAAATGTCAGGCCACATGTTGCAAACATCCTTATTCACTTTGTAACGACAATACTGACGTCGTGTTATTAAACAATTTTAGAAGATGTCAGTCCAGGAAGTTTAAAAAAAATAGGAATTGTGTGTCCGACTGGGTCAACGACTAATTAGTAATTAGTAAACTTTTACGTACACAATGGCCATCTAATGACGTATACGTGTTTAACACATTTCCCAAATTATTACTGTTAAGTCACAATATACTGTGGTAAAGTAAAAGAAGACACAAAGTGGTAAAGATAATATTAACAATGACAACTTTAACCTTATAAAACACAAAGTGCAAAACTATGGTAACAATAATAAAGATGGCCACAGGAAACAAGATTCCCTGTTTGGGCCCAATTTGTGAAACCACACGCAGAGGCGGTATTGTGTGACCCATTAACTACTTCGTTGCAAACATGTTCTACTATTTGTGAATTATAACACAAATTAGACATTGTTGCCTAAAATATTTATGTAAATATTCATTTTTTTTAGTTTCTTCAAGAAACTTTCTTGACCTATTACTTGTAATATTCATAAGATGAATAATACGAGTAATGGGTCAAGAAAGTTTCTTAAAGAATCTAAAAGAATTGAATGTTTACCTTAATGTTTAGCCCGGTTGGGCTAATTCTAGATTCCTTTAGACCATATTAGTATCTGTGATACAATTTGCTGTTGTGCAGTTTTGGTTGTATAGTATGTACTGATTGCGGCAAAGACCACGTCGTTAGACGGTGTGGATCACGTGATATTCTTACATCTCGACTCTGTTGAGCGTAGTAAAAGCGCAAAATGGTCCTTTATTTTGGGTGTGTTCCACTAAACCAAGTTGCCCGACACTGATGAGACCCAATATAGGTCGAAACAGCTGTCTGTCGGTATTTGAGTTGGTGGAACGCACTCAAAACAAAAAACTTTGGCAAGGTGAAGGTTCAATTCTTTTTTATAAAATATTTATTCATTTAATTTGTTACAATAAATTAACAAATAAGAAACAAATAAGGAATCGCACATCACAAAATTTCTAAACTAAAATTATTTCTTGCGACTACACAGTATTTTAAAAGTTAAAATGCCTATATTGGTTTACAAACAAATCGTAGGTTTCAATCTAAGAAAATTTTAGGTTTAATTCCTACTTTATTTCATACCAAAGCTACCTGTGTGGCTATATAATAATAATAATAATAATAATAATTTATTTGTTGTAAAGAAACATAATACATTTCATTTTAAAAGTATAAAGAGAAATATACAAAACTAATCTGATACAACAAAATGGACTGGAAGGCAGACTAATCTGATTGTAATTCCAGCCCAAAACAAATTTAAAAACAAAATAAACAAAATTAATATAGGTCCATGACTATTTTAAAATAAAAATTAATGTAGAAAGAGGTTTTAACGACAAAGTGGTTTTTCAGGAAATAGTGGTTTTTACAAAAGCTTGTTAAGTATCAACCTTTTTAAAGCAGATTTAAAAGGTTTTAATTTCCGAGTCTTAAGATGTGCGGGTAGGTCATTGTATATGGCATAAACGTTATATGAAAAGGATCGTCTAAATATTGCAGTTGTATGAGCAGGTGGGGATATTAGGCCTTTGAATCTTAAATTTAAGCTGTGAACATCGGTACGGTATTGAATTTTCCTATGTAAATATGGTGGTGTTTTACTTGTTATTATGGAGTGAAACAGTGTTGCCGAATGAAGTGTTCGTCTTTCTTCCATATTTAGCCATTTTGCGTCTAATAATTTGTAAGATACTGCATTAAATTTCCTTATACCATAAATATATCTTAAACATGATTTCTGAATGTACTGTATACGATTTACATTTCTTTTATCTATACAGGGACCATACAGTACATCACCATAATTGAAGTAGCTAAGAACCAAAGTGTCAGTTAATCTAATTTTAAGCTCTTGTGATAATATTTGGCGGTGAGGATAAAGAATTTTTAATGCACTGTAAGCCTTTTTTAGACAATTAGTAACATAATTGTCAAATCGTAAATTACAGTCAATTTCGATACCCAGGTTCTTAGCCACCTTACTGGTTGTCAGATCATTTCCATCGATTTGTATTTTAATCAAGTTTGAGATTAAGTGTTTTTGCCTACCAAATATAAGAACTGAGGATTTTAGTGAGTTTATACATAACTGGTGATTGTTGGATAGTTTGACTAATGCGTTTAGGTCGTCATTTATGCGAGAGTTGGCCAACAATAAGTTGTCTGGTTCGAAAGAATACATTAACTGTGTATCATCTGCGTATAAAAATGCTTTGCAGAATTTTAAACATTTAGTTAATTCGCAAGTATATATACTAAAAAGTAATGGACCCAGAATAGACCCTTGCGGCACACCACATTTTATTTGAGTTTTTCTGGATTGACCCTTGTCAGTTTGCACATATTGGACTCTGTTAGTTAAGTAACTTTTTATTAGATTAATGGAGGAATAAGAGAATCCAATATAATGCAAGATGGAATATAATATTTCGTGGCTAATGGTATCAAATGCCTTTGAGTAATCCAGAAGAATTAGACAAACAGTTTTACCTTTATCAATATCTCTTATGATATCATCGACTACGTCTAGGAGGGCAGTTGTGCAACTGTATCCTTGGCGAAACCCTGATTGGAATGCCGGTAGTATATTAAATGTATTTAGATGTTTACGAATTTGGATATTCATTATTTTTTCCAATACCTTTGAAAGTACCGGTAAAATGGAAATAGGACGCAGCTCATTAAAATTCGTTATTTCTGTTTTCTTTGGCAATGGAACTACTCTGGATTCCTTACATTGGTCAGGAAAATAACTTTCAAGAAGACATGAATTTATTATGTGTGTTAAATAAGGCAATATAGTTGACAGGCACAATTTAATCATGTCAATACTCAACTTATCAGATCCAACCGATTTTGTGGTAATATTATTTATACAAGTTTTAATTTCATCTTCAGTTGTTAGGGAAAAACTAAATAATTCTACAAAATTTTGCTTTAAATTTGCGTTGTAATAACTTAAAAGATCTAAATTTGGAGGTGTATATTTGGAGTATTGCGATAAATGATTATTTATTTCCTCAGGTTTATTTAAATTATCTGGTAGGGTTTTAGATTTAGGTTTATTGTGAATATTTAAATCGCCTAACTTATTCCAAAGGACCCGGCTGTTGTTACGATAATTATTTGCACAATACTCCAAATATGCTTTTTTTTCGTTTTTTATTGCCGATGTTAGTTGGTTTTTAATCTGTTTATAATAATTCCAATGTTCTTCATGTTTGGTACGTTTAAATTTTGCAAGGGCTTTATCACGCAAGGACATCATTAATTTAATATTGTCAGTTAGCCAAGGAGGATTTTGCTTTTTAATTATTACTTTTTTGACAGGCGCTAATATATCAAAAATATTCATAATTATTGCATTAAAAAATTGTATCTTATCACATATATTATCAATAAGTAAGATATTATAGAAGGGAGCAGTTTCCAGAAAATTTGAAAGCAAATTATGGTCGAGGTATTTCAAGCTTCTGCACTGAATATATTTAGGACTAACTTTTGGTTGAACATAATTTATATTACAATAAACTAACATGTGATCTGAAACATTATATATTTCTTCTGTACCAGTAATGTATGATTCGTTGTGATTATATACTAAAATAATGTCTATGAGACTTGCTGAATTTTTAGTTATTCTAGTAGGAGAGTCAACAATTTGTTTAAGATTAAAAGAATCAATACAGTTTAAAAATGTCAAGGTTGATTGATGTTCAGACTGTAACAAATCTATATTAACATCACCCCCACAAATAATTTCATCACATTCGGGCAAGAAGTCAGATATAGCATTGTCTAACGATTCAATAAAATCAGGTATTTTTTTATTTGGTGGCCTGTATAGTACCCCAATTATATATGACTTATAATTAAACCTAATTTTAACCCAAAGTTGTTCAACACAGTTATTAGGGTCCGTATATAATAGTTCACAGCTTAAATTGTTGTTCAAATACAATCCCACTCCACCACCTCTACTTACTCTATCTCGACGAAAGAACCTATATCCATCTATATCAATTAAATTAGTGTTTACATTTTCAGACAACCACGTTTCACAAACACCAATAAAATCAAATTTTTTTTGTGAGACAAAAACCTTAAAATCTGCAAAATTGTTTGTTAATGATCGTACATTATAAAATGCAAAAGATAAATTCCTCATTCCGTAAGTGTACTTAACAAAGAAAACCAGAAAAAAATAAAAAAAAAAAAAAAATAACAAAATTCTTAGGGTATAAAATAAATTGAATAGATATTGTATAAAGAAAATAAAAGAAAAAAATAATTATATAAGCAGTAAATTTAAAATAAGCGGTTATATTGTTGTTTTTTCTCCCAGATCTCCTTGGACTTTCTTAGCCTCAGCTCTGGTGTTCCTTTTTGGTGCTGCTCCTATAGGTTTGGTGGGAGTTAATTTGAATTTTCTTTTTTTATTTTCCTCGTCCTCTTCGTATGTATTTCTTAATATTTGTTCAATGTTCTCATGAAGGTTTTTTTGTAATGATTCGTAGACTTCTTCTGTTTCAATGTTTGCTTTATTATTTAGTATCTTGGAAGTGTTTGATTTAAGTTGATTGCAAGTGTATTCTTTTCCGTCGACTACAAGTTTGTTATTTTCAATTTTTGCTTTATATTTTTTTTCCTTGGCAGCTTTTAAAAATTGGCTTAGTAACTTTCTTTCCTTATAATCTTCGGATGCATAATCGGAGGTAAAAAATATATTGTTTTCTTTTAATTCTGCTTGTTTTTCTTTTGATTTATTCAGTATTTCTTTTTTCAAAGTATAATTGATCACTTCAATTTGGACAGGTCGGGGTTTACCAGCAACTTTTTTTCCTATCCTGCGTATATCACGTAGATCCTTATTATTACATGGAATATTTAGGACTTCATTTAATACAGCTAGGGTTTTATTATCAGTTAGTTGTTCGTCTCCTTCTATTCCATATACTATCACATTATATTTCTTTTGCCTTCTTTCCAGAAATAAAATTTGTCTTTTCAATTCTTGATTTTCCTTCTCAAGATATTCATTTTTTATTTTTAAAATATCCAATTCACTTTTTATTTCATTTTTTACATTAGCTATTTCAGTTTTTAGAACCTGATTTTCACTTTTGATCAAATTGAACAGGTCTTCATTAGTGATTTGTTTACTCATATTTTAAATTTTACATAATGCCTACAGTTTGGGGTGTCATGACGTCACTGTGTATTTTTTAACACAAAACAAGGTCTCTGCGACGTAACAGCTAGCAATGTCGCAATAGACACATTTTCATTTTAGGAATAAAATGCTGACTGGGGGGCGATAGACATCACAAAGTAAAATTATATATTGTATTTATTGGCAAAATTGCGCGATAGATATGTTTAGGTAGTTCAAATAAAAATGTCGTATTTTCTTAGTGTTCACCAATCTTTACCCAAATATTTCTACGTTTTTTTGTGTACTTTATCCGACAAAAAACCAAATAAAACCTTGTTAAAAACAAACTTGATTCCACAAACCAAACACTTGGGTAAGACAATCTAAGTTTGTTGTCCTATGAACCCAACGTCTTTGCCAAACTGAGTGAAGAGTATTCAAAATAGGTAATGCGGTTTTGCAAGCAAACATTTCCACATCGAGACCTGGAGCATTCCCGTGGGCCGCAGCCATGCCGCTGAGAATCCGAGAGACAAAGGTTTACATTTACACTTTCTATTTTACGTTCAACAATGCAATATCTCCGATGGCGGATTCGCAGGAACGCTTCAATGGATTCCTGCAGGGAAATGCCTCAATGTTAATTAGGCTCACGCGGTTTAATGGATATGTCTATGGGTTTGAACGTCTTACTTCTTGCGGATGCAAGGAATTCAACGAGGTAAATTTGGGTCTGGTTAAAGGAAATAGATAGGTTTGTAGTTTGTAACCACTCTAAAAATATAATGTTTTGTAATAGTAGTCCTGCGATCAGAATTAGAATTGTGCATATTACTGCGCTTGAGATTAAAGAAATTTTTTTAGTACTAAAAATTAAAAATGCTTTTAACATATAAAATTGTTCTCAAGAAATATATGAAATTTAGGATATTGTTTAAAAAACTTTAACCCATATATTAAAAAAAGTGCTAAACTGTATTCTGCCCTACTATGGAGAAAGGCAGTAACTGCTAAACAAGAAATTTGTGGGAAATTAGCATAAACTACATTTTTATAAAAGCAGTAGGTATTTAATACAAAATGTTCATAGCTTTATCATAGCACAAGAAAACGCATTTTGAATTTTTTGGTAGTTACTGCTTTTCTCCATAGTAGGCCAATAATTGGGATACCACTACTTTACAGTATTATTAAAGGGTGTTATTTAAAACTGATACTGAACTGAACTTTTGAACCGTTTTGTCATTTACAGTTATGTTAAGTTTTGTTTGACAAATAAGGAGCATCCGGTCAAAACCAAATTTGTCCACTCCTGGCGAAAGTTTAAGTAAGCACTAGTTGTTGATAATTAGTCTGTAACTACCGTAAAAGTGGCCGAACACCAATATTTCCTATTTAACATGAAACGCAAAAGAGGTACGAGCAATACCAAAAATATCCACGCTGCTAGTCTAACCAAATAATAAAATATCCCCATCCAGTCCCGTGAGATCAAGATGGCACACTTAATTTGCATGTCAAATAATTTGACTGATTTACTTACAGATTTCTTGTTTTTCGATTTGTTCTCTTTTCAACAAATTGTAAAGCTTGTGTCAACTTTTTAGCAAATCACAATTTTTCTTAATTGGGAGTTAGGGTAGAACATGAAAACATGTCCATTTCTAAAAGTCGATTTTCTAAACATATTTTAATCACGATTTTTCGCTTTCCTAAAAAATCTGATCTGAGGGACGAATTTGGTTTTGAACGGACGCTTCTCAAATCATTATTAACAGATTCAAACTATAAAAACGCGTATCTTTAAAAACTTATTTTGAAAATCGGCTTCAGTTTCCAAACTTATAGAAAATTACGTGATTTTTAAGGTTTACATAACCAATAGTGGTGAGCTGGGTCAATGGGCAAATCACAATCCACACAACAAGGTCTGTTCGATCTCGTAGTAAAAATACCAAAAATCACTGCAACATCATACGATGGCGGCCATTTTTGTTGTTACAATAATTGTAAGAATTATTCTTGTGCTTTGGGTTTGTACAGATTAATAATCGTTTTAAACGTTGTGTTTCTTACAGAGAGACTTGCAAGCCTTAAAAGAGACCTCAAAATGGTAAGAACAATCATTTTACTTCTCTTTTGTAAAAAATAAACCTTATTCTATCAAATGTCAATTTGAAGGATAATTTGTGGGTTATAAAATAACCTTAAATTAACCTTCAAATTGACATTTGATAGAATAAGGTTTATTTTTTACAAAAGAGAAGTAAAATGATTGTTCTTATCACTTTGAGGTCTCTTTAAAGGCTTGCAAGTCTCTCTGTAAGAAACACAACGTTTAAAACGATTATTAACCTGTACAAACCCAAAGCACAAGAATTGTAAACAACAAAAATGGCCGCCATGGTATGATGTGTAGTGTTGCAGTGATTTTTAGTATTTTTACTACGAGATCGAACAGACCTTGTTGTGTGGATTGTGGCAAATAAAAAATTGGGTGCTAGTGTCTTATTTGGGCCAGTTGTTAAAGTAGTAAGTAGGACACCACCTTACTAAAGATTAAGGGTAGTTATAACAAAAAAGTTAAAAATTATAAGTATAGGGAGTACTATATCTCAGTTGTTGATGAGTATATTTACACTTTATGAAGTTGATTGATTATAATTGTGGGTCCCCTTATATGGCCATATATGGTTTACAAAAACCTATTTAACGTCTTTAAGATGAATTTTGACATAATTAAAAAGTTACCGATGATATAAATACAAATTTAAATTAATATATTATTATTAAAGTTGAAGACTACGTTAAAATTGTATTAAACCAAAATTACACGAGAGATTAATAGAGTGTAGTAAACATCATATACATTAAATATTAACATAACTAGACATTAGTAGGACCTGATGGTAGTTTAGGATCTCCTATCATATCAGATTTTACAATGTAAAAAGCTTTCCAATATCAAAACAACTTTAAACTGACATAAACACTCCAACATAAAAACCCTAAAAAAATGGTATGACGCCTAAGCATCTTAAAAAAACTATAAAACGCCAAACGTATCCTTTGTCTAAGTGGTTTTTATTCTTCAAAATAACCTTCCTACGCTGGAAATAGCTTAAAAAAACTTTGCAGAATGAAATACATCGCTGCCTAAAATGGAGAACCACGTGGGTAAAAAAAAAATTCCCACAAAAAATTAATAACTCACCCTGAGTTTATCGTACGACACAATTATTGCTTACCCGCCATTGGACCAGGAGAATTACTACACATCTTTGGAATTCTATCCAAATTCTAAGAACAAAGCTTACTTCCAACCAAACAACACCACTGATCAAACGAAAAAGAAAGCGTAAACCTTGTTAAATGCGTAGTAGAATATTTAAACAAAAACTCAAAGGATCGCCAAAAACTAATAATTACCTAAAAACCCCAGTCACCAAAGTGTTCTGTGTTGCATACTATCAAAACAAGGTAATAAATTAAAGAAAACTCGCTTTAAAAGAAAATTAAATACTGTCAATATTTGAAATGACGCGTCACCCGTGATGATAAAAGGAACCCTACTAATACAAATACAAATATCGTTATTAAAAATATACTTAATAATATAGTTCAAACTACAATAAACCAACCCAACGGTTAACATCTATACCGTTCTAGACGTAAAGAAACTAATTAAATAAAATAAATGTGTAACTGTCAAAGTGACGGTTACACTAATTACAATCACAAATGTCCACTGTTTGGTGTATTCTTTAGCACTCAATAGCAAACATTAACATACAATGATCAGTGATCATTGATCAGTGATTATTTCCTCGTTAATATGGACGAAATTGACCCGGGCGATTTATGATACCAGCAGGTTGACATTACGTACGTTATTGTCCAAAAAACCATATACTGATAATGGACTCGATTCAACGACATTTTTTCATATTATCTTTCTTAAAAACACCCTTTATTAATCGTTTGGTCAATGGAAAATTTACTTGTCAAATATGAAAACTTTAGGCACTGAGTAGCTATCTTTTAGCTAGTTTAAAAAAAATATATTTAAGTTTAGTTTAACAACCGAAAACAAAATAGTTTTATTAGTTCCTTAGTTACTTCAAAACGTTTATACGAAATTACTTCAGTCTAGTTTATTGCCCAACTAGTTTTACTTGCGACTATGTTTACGCTTTAAAGGAGTCGCAGCAAGTGAGTAAGTGAGAACATAAAACTTTTTCGTATATTAAACTGGCTCCACTTAAGACAAGTAAGTAATAAAAAAAGGCAAAAAAATAAACCCGCCCTAGCGGCAAAATATCCACTGACACGTTTGTCTCCATTTTATTCGCTATTGCGAAACTTTTATTTTATGAGAAAAAACAGTTTGTTTAAGTTGTTAAATTAAAGTTCTTACATGAAAAAAGCCATTCCATTGCATTTTTAAATTTTTGTGCTGATCCCAAAAAACAAGGTTTAAGGCACATTTTTCTACAAAATTCGCTGGTTGCTGGGTGTTAATACCTAGGCTTATAAGTCTACTAGCTGATACTTATAAGGCTATAGTCGCTAAGACTTAAACAATGCAATTTATTGAGTTGTTCTTCCACAAGCTGCTAAAGAGATGTCACAAATGACTTTTCGCTAACCGTTGGAAGTAGCAGCTATCCGGTAGCGACTACATATAAAAAAATCTAATATAGTACCCAGAACAGTGCTGTCATTAAATGCATTAAAATTGAAGCAATCCAAATTGTTATTTGCTCAATTAATTACTATTAAACCAAAATAGGGAAATATTTTGCCTAAATGTCAAAGAATTTATTGCGTTAAATGTATACATATATGTATACTATAGTAACGTTATTAAATAAATCAAATTAGTATTTAATGCAATAACATTTTAACATTCTAACAAATAAATATCAATATAAATATCAATAGATTTAGGAGCGATAACTTTTGTTGTTGATTTAAAAACAGTAAACTGTTATTCAGGAATACGGATTACAAGATCCCATTGGTTTAATGGCTCACCCATTCATGCTATGCTAGCTTTTTTTCTGTGTACCAGCCACCAGCGAACTTGTTGGAGAAGCTACTTTTACCCCTAGCCCGAAAAAATTGCACTGTTGCAGAACAATACATTACAAACAGGCAGTTACAAAATTTATTTGATGCCAAATAAATCCCAAATTTAAAGTTATAACAAAGGAAAGTGTAATAAAAAATTTAAGGTGTAAAACTCATAAATCACATCGCTGTGGTCAAAAACAGGTACAAAAAAGTCCATTATTAATGGACACTATATTGCACTTTAATAGACATTACCAATATTATCCAGGATAAAAGTGAAATCAAAACTATCGTGCCTAAAAAATAATCCCTAGAATTTATCGGAAAGTCTGTAACCCAACTCTTATATAGCCAGAGCTTTAAATTTTTTAATTGTTAAAAGTAATAAAACAAGTATTGAACTTTTTTCAAGCTATGAACCATTTATTGGAAATGAAGTTTTCCTAAATCCTCTTATAATATTTTCACAAATATTAAATAAAGATTAAGATGAAAGTATAAAATTAATCGTTCTTTATAAACTGTTTTAATGATGATTTTCTTTTATACCAAATATATTAAAAAAAGTAAGTAATAACACCATCAACTCATTCAGCTTATAGGCAAAGCCTATAAGGTTTAGCGATTTTTAATTACTTTTCATAATTATTTTTCCATTAATAAAGGAAATTTAATTTA